TGCCCAGGACCCGGGCCTGCCGCGCGTCGGGGCTTCAGCCCACCACTGAGTTTCTGCAAAGAAGAAACAACGCCTACTGCTCTTACCCTCTTCTTCCTATACGGAACTGGGCGTGATAACTGTGGTGCTCTGAGCACAGCCACGGCTTTTATCCCTGCCGATTCACAAATCCAATACTTGGTAAGATAAGAAGAAGACGACTCTCTCGCTGGGAAAATACCTTTACTCGCCTGACGTTTCGATATCCGTCGCGGATTCGTCATCAGAAACATGGTCAGAGAGCAATAGGGTTCTCTTCGTCCTCGTCTTCTTCTCAATTACTGCCTGGGACTCGCATGTTCGCCTTTAGTGGCAACAATACCTGGTTACGTGAACCCAGAATCAAACTTGTTAATGTGCTATGCACTTTGTGTATTTTAACGAGGTTCTGTACTCAATATTATGCCCGCGATTATGCGATATAGATGAAATCGGTCCCACAGACGGTACAAAAATTTTCTAGACCTGTAGTCATCGGATTCTACACACCTCACGACATTTCCTTGCCTTAGTGCTGTGGCCTTCGATATTCAAGAGAGAGTCAAAATGCGATAAGCCGGAGACCGGTCAGAGTTCTGGGTAAACACTGGTGTGTCTGTAAGGTTTCTTACCAATGCAGTCCTGGTTGTCAATGAAGTTTACCGTCTGCACACTGAGGCCCTCATGCTGGTAGACAATCTGTTCCTCTTTGAGAATGCGCTCGTTGAAGAACTGTTGCAGCTTTTCATTGCAGTAATTGATGCAAAATTGTTCGAAAGAGTTCTCCTCAAAGTGTTCTGTTGGAAGAAGAAGAAGAAGAAGAAGAAGAAGAAGAAGAAGGAGTAGGTGGTGAATCAGGATGAGGTGTAAAGGACAAAGCAAAGTTAAGGACACTCAGTGGACGGCGTTTAGGATTGAGCAGGATCACCTGAGAGGTATCGTATCATTTATCATAATGGAATATAATCCCCAGGATGTCGGCTTTTGAATGCATGTCTTTTTACGGTTGTCTGAGCAAACCACACTGCATAATAAATGACTATTTAAGTGATGCAAATATGTTTTTCTGATTGTTGCTGTCCCTTTTATATTCACTATGGCGATTGCTGTTAGCAAAAGGCCGCAATTTGCGAAAGACTAGTAATCAATCGCAAAGCATCATTAAGTAGGATTGCAATACTGACTTCCGTGCAGTATAATCTCAGGTATTTTCTCTCACGCCAAGAGGCCGGCTCTTTAATGAGCTTCCTTCTAGTCGTTTACAATAGTTCGATTCTGCAAAAAAAGTAGCTACTTAAATAATATGTATTTGCATCATAGATTTTGACCGTCTTTATAAATTCAAATATATTTAGTAGAAATCATGGACGAAAATATATTTCTTGTACTCATTTGGTAGAAAATTGCGCCCTCTTTAAATGTTATACTCAAAGAAAGGGCATCTTTCAGTTTTAAAAAGTTTATAAATTGCCGAATAATTTTGACATTTACCGACTGCTACGTCTGAATTCAAGGTTTCCAAACAGCATGCTTTGTATATTACGTTTAGGAAAAAAACGTTTTCACCTAAGGTTTGAGCAAGAGGTTGCAAAGTTCTCATAAATGGTTGTAATAAATGTTGAACATGCTGTATATATTATATGCAGCATTAATAAATTGACGAAGCCAATGCATTATGAATGAAGAGTCCACAATCGTAAGGAATCTCATAACAAAAAATTGTTCAAAAACCGAAGAATGCCCTTTTTTGAGTATGAAAATGAAAGATGTAACTTCCTACAAAATGAGTACAAAACAAAATATTTTAGTGCATGCCTTCTATAAAATATAGTTGAATTTACAAAGGAAGTCAAAATCAATGAGTTAAATGCATACTACATATGCAGCCATGTTTTACCGAATATAAATTTTGTAATCGGTCAGAAAGCAAGTAGGTAAAAAGAATTGCATCCTGCAATGATGCGAGACTAGGCTGCACAATAATAAATACCACAACCCTACTTAATGCCGTTAACGAGTGGTTATCAATCTTTCGCAAATTTTGAAATTTTTCACGAAATACCAGCCGTATGGTAAATATTGCAAATAAGTGCATGTCTGCTTGTAAAAACCTCGTTGGAAAATGCTACTTAACTCGTGTTTAATTAGAAAAGTTAGGCGAAAGGATCGAGTGAGAACGTTTTTGACTGCAATGTTTTTTTAAACCACCTCTACGGAATTTAAAGTTGTGATTTTTATTGCGACACAAAATGCCAGTTTTCATCATGAAAAATTCGATAAGCTCGAGGATATGAACACAGCATTCTAGGCATCACTGCATCACGATGACTTACTTTGCTGCAGAACGGAAGCTGGTCTAATGTAATTAAGCTTGGTTATCAGTGAGAGAATTAAACGCAGAGTAAAACACTCCTACCTTCTGGAACACTTGACATTCACGTAGCATGGAACGTGATACTAACTGCAACCCTTTCTAGTTTCGCCTACTTTGGGGCCAAAACTTGTGAGCAAGGTATTTGTTGGGGGTTTTCCCCAAAACAAAAGAAGTCAGAGCCCATCTAAGTTACCCCTAACTTGATTGCTTGTTGCTCCAAGCTAGTAAATCTTGGAGATCATTTTGGGAGAACAGCTTAAACAGCGAAGCTTACGTATACCTACATGCTAGTTATCCAACAGCCAGATTGATTAGTCTACTTTTAAAAAATTCTTTTTTAAATAGGCAAGCGGTTATTTTTCTTTAGTTCACATCTTCAAACAGACCGTAGGGTTGTTGATTGTTCTAACTGTAATTCTCCAGATCAGGAAGAATAAAATATGCACCGAAAGTGCTGAACTAGATTAATTCAAGCATTTTATCGCTTTCTACCTCGGGAGTGAGGTATTCTTATTGAGCCGGAGTCGCAATCAGACCACTGTACCTGTGACACAAATTTAACAGCTTTAAAATGAGGAGATAAGAGCCTATTATATGGTTGCCAACGTAACCCAAATCCCCAGGGGGTGAGAAAATACGAGGGCGCAGGGGAGAAAATAAAATAAGTATATCAAACGGGGAAATAATCCATAAAATTATCTCAAATAATTAATATATAGCAACGAAAAATTGACATAATTAAAAAATTAGAAAATAAAATTAATTTATAAAAATAAATTAATGTCACCATCGGTCACGTATTACAGAATTCTGGTGCTTTGGATTTCTGTGATGATCAGTATTATAGACCGCTAATCACGCAAGTATTACGTACAGTTCCGTCGAACTAGCTCGGCATGGGTGAAGAGTTTAATTAGGGAGACGCATTTAGTAAGCGGTATCGAACCTACCGAAACCGGCAATATCCAAGAGACCCACGTAGGTGGCCTGCTGGGTGTTAGGAATGGCGCGATTCACCATGCTGACCAGCCATTCAAAGAGGCGAGAATAAATGGCCTTTGCCAGGCCGTCCCGCACATTGGCCGCGTTCTCCCGACTCAGAGCAATCTTCAAGCCCATGGCTTTGGTCACTCGGGCGGTCAGGGCCTTTTCCAGGGTATCCTTATTCATACCCAGCAACTCTGCGGCTTTGCTTAGGGAGGTTTCCGTCTTGGGCGAAACTCGACAACAGCCTGTTTTGAAGAATGGAAACAAAAAAGGCAAATATTCGTAAAATATAGTTAAGTGGTGTCCTCGAATTCTTTGCACCCTTAAGTAATATGTATTTCACAATTCACTTAACAGGACATTATCCTTTTGCATTTGGAACAGCTTGTACTCTGCTTGACGTAGAATGCATGACATTCTGGAGGATCTCCAATGATATCTTTCTCCAGGTGTCCAGAACGGATCTCTCCAGTGGTAAGGCAGTTTCTTGCCAACCATACAACCAAGAATGGACCATATATTTCCAAGTGGGCTAGAGTCCGGACTACTTGCTGGCTACATGTCTCTCCTCTAGAAATGTGGAATTTTCTCTAACAATAATCTCCGAATCTTCAGAGCTGTTTAAGTTCTGGCTTCGTCCTGCACAAAAATAATACTTGATATGTCCGGAACAAGTCTATTCTCAAATTTTGACGTGCTCACACAGTTTTCTTCAATCTTCTAAACAGGTTTTGCTTTAAAAAATCCTCTCTGTAATATTCACCGTTCACTAGCTGACCCTGTGATACAATGTGGAGGTCAGAGAGCCCTCCAAAGGATATTGCTCCGCACACCATAATTGTAGGACTAAACTTTTTATCTTCAAAATTCTCAACCATGTTACGACTTCGAGCCCACTTAACGTCATTTTGTATGTTTGGTGGATGGAACAGTTCATACGGCGATTCACCGGAGAAGATGATTCGTTTCCAGTGGCCTACAGTTCACCCCTGACTATCTTGCAGAAGGTCAACTTGTCTTTGATTTGGTTTTCTGTTATTCTGGGAATTTTCCTTCTGTGATTTTCATAGCGGTGCACACAGGCCTTTAGCATTCAGTTTTATTTGCGAGGTTCCTTGTGATTCCCTTGGTTCACCACTGAATTTTTCAATCACAATCTTTTCAATTTTCCCCAACATGTTCGATCTTCCTTAGTTCTTCTGCTTTGCGAGGGTGTCTATCCGTTTGTATTGTGAACACCTGTACTTGACCGTCCTGATAGATACACCTACAGCTTTAGCAACCTCCACCCGCTTCATCCCGGTCTCTATCATACTTATAGACTGACCCCTGTCCTCTGAGCTTCGCGGCATCATAATACCAGACACCGCATTTTACCGGTTAAGAGTTTTTTCTTGACATTTTTACTACAGTACTGTACAGTAAACATTGGGTAAAACATTTGTTTAAAAATAAATCACCAACCAATGAGGTTGACGAACACATAAACATTATCGCTGAATATTTAATTTTGAGGGACTAATCCACCTTTTGAAAGGTGCACGCAATTTTGGGACACCTTATAGTTCTCCAGGATACTGAATCCAGAAACCAAAAAGACAAGGTCAGTGACTCGAGTTCGTTCCAAAATAATTGTTTTTTGTCCGGCTTCTGATATGACCTAATCTGGTTCAGCAGTATGTACTCTCATTCCTAGCATGCTACCTCACGTGCGACGAAACGGAACTTGAAAAGATAGAAGCCGACCTGTCTGCATAACGGATGTGGATATCCTGTAAACCTTTAATTTTGAGTATTCTGTGACATTTTACCATGACCTTTACCTTAACTTATCCCTCGCTCTCCGTGAATGAAGTGATGTTTTGTTAAAAATTGTGGATATTACTTTCAACATAAAGCATTCTCTCTCCCTTTCATAAAGAAGACGTATACTTCGATGCACATGAAGAAAGCAAAAAACCCATCGGGACTTTGCTCCTTTTATTTGGTTACGTGACTTATTGTTTTAAGTAACTGAGGCAGCTGAAATAATCGCGGCTTTCGAATTTGAGCCACCCATTTTTTTTGCTCTCCATTCACGTG